CTCCTGGTACAACTGAGCAGCCAGCGAATTGGCGGGGGAATTTGGGTTCGGCTCATCCAAAAGTGACTGAAAAGCATCACACACGTTATAGCATAATAATCAAACATTAGGAGTCTTCAAACTACAACAACATGGCATGTGCTGTACTTCGGTACTTCTTTTAATGATATCATCCCAACAGCAAACATGACCTCGAGTAGAAAGAAAAAATCAGAAAGCAGAAAAGTTTCGAGTTTCAAGACATGAACAAGCTCAGCTCGAAAATACCATATTTGGTTAATGTAATGTACTTTTTTCTACTTACAGCACTAACATCTTCTAAATCTTGACACATTGCAGTAACAGAAAATGAATTAATGGGTCGCGTTCCTGAAAACAATAATTTGACAAAAATTTGGGGCTACAACGGTGATGGGCCTCGTTAGGACTCCCTTGCACCAGATGAATATGCACCGCATCATTCAGCATAAAAGATGTTCAAGACGGCACTGTTTACTTTGATCAACATATCGAGCCGTTAGCATCAAAAGAAAGTCTTTGGTTGTGGTGTGTGCCGTCCGCTTCACTGTCAGCTTATAAGCACTTTTGCTACAGGCCATCAATGACTGCATTGCAGAAGGAGGAGTTTCTCTTCGAATGCAGACCGCCTCTTCATCCATTTCTATCCAAATGGCCCAGGGAAGAAAAGTAAAGAAGATCGAAAAGGTGCGCGATGTTGTAAACAACTACGTGAAATTGCGATAACCGAAGGTTCTATAAAAGACGGAAAAATATGAAGCCATTCAGTCGAACGTAGATCGGTATTAAAAGAAACACTGGGACAAAAGGAAGATTCACTTTCCGCCTGGGGTAGCTAAAATGAAGCTCCTGATGAGTGGCTTTTGTATAATCTCCTATAGAAACTTAGTTTTTAAATTATTTTGCAAAATACAAAATATAGTAATTAATGCATATGGAATGCTATAAGATGAAGAAGAGCATTTTAAGCACAACCTACATAATGCACCAAAGTAAAACATTAGGTACATAAAGTTAATGTATTTCACTGTTCTTCATCAGTAGAATCTCAAAAAGTCCTCAAGAAGCAAGAAATTCCCTTCACCGTACTTCGGTGCTACCAGCCAGGACCTAACGCTAAAAAATCGTTTGTTTGCCAATAATAGGGAGAGCATGGTATTCTGATGTGCCAAAATGCAAAAAAAAAACCTACGAAACATACGGTTACAGTGTCTGCTGCGTGGCATACTGCTGCGGTGCAATATGATCAATATGTACAGTAAATGGTAAAATTTAAAATATATTTAAATTAAATCTTGCATTCCTTCGTATGACCATATCAGATCATTATGCTGATATTAAGAACCGCAAATCAATCACTTGCGAGCCTATTCTCCGCCAACTGACCGATGTACGGTGCAACGAATTCCTTGCTGAAGGGAACTGGCAGTTAATAAAAAATTTTATATGCTGAGTGGAATTTGAACTAAGCATTTCTAAGTACATCAACACCACTAATATACTTGTCCCTGTCATTTACTTATGAACAAACAGTACATGCAGCAAACCAGTAAATTAATCACAAACATTTCATGACAGAACAAAGGTTACAATTTTCAAGTAATCTCAATTACTGTCAGAAAATTACTAGTTTAGGGATGTTTTTTCAGAACGTAAGTAAGAGTTGGTAGAAATTATATCATGAGTTACCCGCGAGAAATTACCGCTGATGATATTCAATCACCTCAGAGACTGCACATCTACTCTCCATCCGTCGTTGTTATGGAGTCTTCAACTAATCTGAAGAACAACTAGACAACAATCCATCACAAGGCCGTTTCGACAGCGGCGCATGCTTCCTTTGCCATTGACTAGTAATCCCTGGCTTTTAGCACATTACCGCTTAATTCTCACCCTACCTCGAAGTTTCAGCGTAAACTTAAGCCTGTAGAGAAGAGTATACAAGCGTTGGTGCATGGATAGACTCAATGATAATCCGGTAAAACCAAAGTGCTAATCGCTTGACCTTGACAACATTAACCATTTTCAGTCCATATCGATACTTATTTGTCATTGCAATCGACCAGGTTATGAATTTTAAAAGTAACACATGTCAGACCCCGATATAAATTTATGAATCATCTTGAACAAGACGGTGGCTACGAAAGGTCTGGCATCCTACTTAACTGGTTCGACGATCTGTTCCACAAAAGAGGGTTACTGTGATACATGTCGAATTTAAATCGCACTAGCACAACAGTACAGGGGAAACACACCACATAATTCAAACCACTGATAATGAGATAGTCGGCAGTAGAGGGACCGCAGTGCTTCCTTCTTGAGTAGAGTTCGATCCTTCCGATTAATGACAAAATGATAAGGATATTTATTGGTTTTGACAGATCAACGAAAATCGTCATGCCCTGGTCGTGTAAACAGCAGACATAGCCGAGAAAAAACTGTTAAAATTTATGGCCAAAGAGTTTAAAATATGCAGATATATGCTACAAGTATATGAGAGCTGACAAAACTTCCTGAGAGATAATTCCAGAGCTCATTCTTAATCATGAACAAAAGCACTCAAACATTCTTATCTAATCTAAATAGTAAGATGCACCTGTTAGACTATACGCAACCCTCGACTAGGGCAAAACCCGAGTTTAACAAGTTCAAACAAATCTGTTGAATTCCCACCAGATAGCGGGCAATGGAATGAGGCTAACCGACATACGAGGGATTTGTCTGCACGACTAGACCTACGTAGAAACAACAATCGACAAATGAACCTACAGAAAAAACGGAATTTATGGCTGTTTCGCTTCTGTGATTCTTCGCTCCCGGCTTGGTACCATCGTGGCGTAGGTATCCATGCGGATTCACTATTCCATCAGAAAATGTCACTATTACCTACCAGTTTTTGAAGACTCTTATCATTCTACAGCCTAACTTACAAGTTCCTCTCAACATTAACATTTAATATGGAAATATTAACATTTGAAATTTATATATAAGTACTTTTAATGCTTTAAATCAAAATATCGTTTCAACGAACGTCTGAAAGCAATACAGACCACGGTGATCATGCCAAGAGAGAGCCAATTGGGAAAGAGATGTGGGCGTTTTGACGCAGAAATGAAAAACTACCATAATAACACATTCGATGAAAACATAAGGCCAAAATGTCGTTCTGTCCTGCGCTTTACTTGTTTAATTTATCTTTTTGATGGCTGAAACTTGATACGTATAGAATATCACAGTACAGATATTAACATAAACTGGGTGATGAGGTTATGACCACCACATAGTAGAGAATGTAAATGTAATGACGAACAGAGCAAGATGTCAGCAAATCATGTAAAGAGGTTAGAATAGCCAACCTATGTAGAAATTCGAAACCTCAAATGAATATGCGCCGCCAACAGAAAACACTGCATTCCAAACACCTTCACTCAGGGTACATAAATCGTAGCCCGAATAACAAAAAACCGACTGAAACCGAGAGTGACTGGTCCGACGTGTGAAAGGAATACCTGAAAACAACGTAGGCAACTACT